ATATATATATATATATAATTTGGCTAGAAAAAGTAATGAAACGAAACAAAATCATCATCCTAACAAACTTCCTTATAAACAAACTTCACACCATGGCCCCTCTCTCCGAGGTACTTAGCAAAATCAAGATTAAGGCTAAACCTTTCGAAAACTTAGATTTTCTATCTTGTCCCTTCTCAACTATAATCGTCTTATTCATATTTGACCCTTTTATGTCATGTTGATTAATGAATATTATATTATGTGTATGAATGTGATGTTGATATCTCTGAAACCAAGGTTTAAAGTTGAGAATCAAGAGGGCAAGAAAAGAAGCTAGGAATAGAGAATCACGATTTACTTTGTGTTCTTTTTTATTTTTATTTTATCTTTTTTGTTTTTAGTCTTGTATGTCAATTTGGTGAGGTCTGAAAGTTCAAATTAGATAGATTCAATTTTGTAACTAAGCGTGACAATTTAGCTTTCTATCTGCTTGACTAATGCAATCATCAATTAATAACTTTTTTATTTCATTTAAAAAAAAATAGTTAATTGACTTGTAAACGTTATACAAGAGTGATTGTATACCCATATATAGCACACGTTCTAAAGTCACGTTCATGAATAATTCACAATTTGTTACTTTTGTTTCAAAGTTCATTTAAGTAACGAAACGTTAAACCAAACATATGCTACAATTATGTCACCACAAACACATACATACCTGATGTACGTAAAAACACAAGAAGAGAAATTCATTTCATTCATATTACAAGTAATCTTAAATGGGGAGTACATGAATCCGCCCTTATTCTGGACCCTTTTGACAATAGAACATGGAGTGACACAGTATCAGAAACAAACTGAATAGAGTGCCTATTATTTGCAATGCATATGTTCCTGAGGTTGTTTCTATTTGAGCTGAACCTGGGTGACATAAGAAGCTCCGGGCCCCCAGTTACTAGGTATAACAATCTTGGGGTCCACCCATTCAGCCATGCCACTCACCTTAAACCTCAACCGAATTTCACCACTTGGTGGGTTAGGAAAATCAAACACTGCCCCATGGTTCCTGTTTAGTGCCTTCCATTCTCCAGACTCCGGCTGCACCATATAACACAATCAAGTTTAATCGTATTATTTATTTTTAAGATAATATTAAAAAAAAAGTTGTCATAACTTATAAGCATGTATATATATACCTGCCACATCTCAACATTAGTGATGTCGTGAATTCCATTTACGTAGAGAATGACCAAAGCAAAGTAACCAGGGTTGCTGCTAGTTTCCTGAATATGAAAGACAACATTGCCGGTGTACGTACAAGGGACCCTTTCGTATTCAATGTCCACAGTGCCGTATTTCTTAAGCTCTTGAGCTGCATTCTCGTTAAGTCCCATTTTTGTGAAGGCGCGTTCGCTCATCACGAAGTCTGTTCTGTCTCCATAACCCTGGTCTGTTACCGCCAAGTATACTCCATTCACGTCGCACACATTTTCTATTTGGCACCTTACCTGAACCATCATCATCATCATTTATATATATATAGTTGCTATATTAAGTACATGAATATTTTGTTTTTATATTAAGCATTATTAGAAAGAAGGAGAAGGGTGAGTACCCAATAGCATGTACCACAGCCAGCTCCGTTCCTCCATAGCTCAGACACCCCTGAGACCTTTCCATCGTACCAATTCATCTTCCTTCCGTATTCACCAAACCCACAAGCTCCGGCTAAAAATATGAAAGAACAATTTGTTATGTCATCCACTGTATGTACATGTCACGGTATGTGCACACTTTGTATCTTAAAAGTGAACCATGCATCTTTAATAATATTATATTCTATATTGTAAAAGTTTTTGCTAGGAAAAAACAATATATTTACTTTCAACATCTCATGCTTCATTTTGTTTAAATGAGTAGGAAAAAAAAAAAGATGTTTGTTTAGTTGTATAGAAAGTGCGAAATAATAATAATAAAAAAGTTATAACTTTTCTTTCTTTTGTGTATATAGTTGTGTAGAAAGTGAAAAGAATATATATAGATCAGATAAATATCCTTGATAAAAAATATATATATATAAAAATTAGGATAAGTTCAACCAAACAGTTTTCCCTCCATTTTTAGTTGTATAGGAAAGTTATAACTTTTCTTTCTTTTGTTTATGTAGTCGTATAGAAAGTGAAAACAATATATATATATAGATC